GCTAAAATATTCAAAAGGTTGGCAATTAAGTCAAAAATATGAATATCGTTTTAATTTTAAAGCATTAATACTGCACCGATCCCTTTATGGGGCGTAAATCAAGTCCCTTGAAAGACCAAAGCATATCGAAAACTATAAGTCTCATTTAAGCTGATATGGGCTTCCTCTAAGCAATGTAGCGAAGTACATGGCGTGATAAATGAGTTAAGCTGGTGCCTAGAACTCCACACAAGTCAAGTCCTGAGTTGGATCAGTTTAGTGGCGGCTAGAAGTAATGATTCCATAATTGCATAATGGCACCGCCTAATGCATAATTAGGGCGCTTTGTATTCAATTCCTTACTGAGGGACTGCTTCCTGTGATAGGTCATCAAATAGCGAATTGTGTACAACACTGACTATTCTTTTGGATATGTTTATAGTGGTACCTGATTTAGAGAAAAACAACTCGAATCTCACCAGGCGAGGGGTAAAATGAAGATTAGAGAGGGCATCTAGATTTGCGATAAGTTCAGTAATATCTCGTCTTATTCCTTCTTTTAGAGGGTCTTCTTGTGCTTCCGCCAAAGCCTATTGAATTATCAATAAAATAAAACAACCTTTGACTTTGTTAAAAGATTTTCGTATTCCTGAACGAGGGACTGACAGTTAGTCTCTTCGAAACGTGTGGCAACGATCTTCCTCTTGGGAACATCTTTAGCTTTAAAAGCTGGACCATCAAATGCCTAAACGCATAAAATAAAATTTTTAACATGCTCTCTCTTTAATGCCCTTTGCTATAAATTTGCCAATCGCATCCTCATCTGCCGGAGGCGGTTCTGTTATGGATATAAGCAATATAATAAGGACTACTTGAGAAATTTACTCTATTTACTTCCAAATGCTCCTCAAGTACAGTATTATCCCCTCTGCCTCGTGCAGCAACTTCCCCTTTAAGATACCATGGCTTCTCAGATAACAATTGTCTCTCAAGAAATTCTGTTTCCTTATCAAGCTACACAAATAAGAAGTTATCAGGCATGGTAAAGCACCTTTTCCTGGAAAGAAAGCTTATCCGAAGACTACGAAATAAGGATACAAATACAAACATGCTTGCGCTTCATATCCCCTGCGGCAGAGTAAGGTGGGTCAAGAACGAGATAATAGCGCAGTAAAACAGGGGTCGGCAGGGGACTGCGCAGACGAGGTAATATTCACTACAAGCGCACTAACTCGTAATATATATAAATCAATACATACAATTTTTAAAGTGATGAAAAATGTGGCAAGTCATGCTTCTTTAAAAGTACTAAATGAATGCATATTACTGTGTTATTAATCAAGTAAAATAAAATTTTAATTCTTTAGGTTGCCACGGTGTCGCAAAGCAAATATCATCTTAGATCTTAAATCATCTTATTCCCAGCAATATCCTCTATCTTTATTGCAGTTTATTTTCAAGTCAACTACGAATCGTTTCCATATTCTGAACAAAAGCATCTCAGCAAATTTATCTTTTTTATATGAAGTGATCCAGAACAAGTATATCCTATTGCATCTAGTGGCCTCGTTACGCGAAGCCAAACATATTTCCTATTATTTTATATGTATATCTATAAATCCCTAATGAATGCCTCCAATCGTGACTCGCGAATCCCGACTGATGACTAATTCTCACCAGCCCTACCTCGCCTATCATTGGTCTTACCAGATTTCAGCTGGATCAACTATAACATAGATATTAGAAGCCGACCTTCACATCTTGTATAGTACTCAGTGACATTTGTAAAAATATTGCTCACTTGATCTTCGATTTTTCGCCATAAAATATTGATTTCTCACCTCTCTACTGTGGGCCGCATTACCTTGATGAATAGATTAGTGCAAAGCCTCTCGGCAATTATATCGTTAACTTCATATTTATGTGTTATTTTGGCAAGCTAGTAAGGAGAGTCCGACGCTTGAAAGTACCATAGATACTATGACAAAGGACTCCAGATGGGGCACATTCTTCTAGGTCTTTCTCACCAAGTTTGCGCATGGGTGGTCAAAATTCTTCTATGCAACGAAAAAACATCAATATCACACTAAAGGATATATGATCTTGGCCCTCATGCCAACTTAACAATGTAATCTACCTTCGTTGACTATTTGAAGGCCCTAATAATTATCAACAGTCGCATTATCTAATGAGAATAAGAGGAAGGGTTGTTCATATTCTTCCATGGCATACCTCTATAAGTTGTGTAAAGACTATTGACATTAATATTAGGATGAAATTTAAGGCGGAGTTAGGATGTACTGACTCACATTTGTTTACAGTTGATGAAACACATTTAGGCCCAATGCATGCTTTTGTAATCAGATATCTCTATTCCCATTATAAAGGTTAGTCTCGTTACACGGCACTCTTAAATAATTTTCAGTATTCAGTTTATACAATAGCAACTTGAGAGGACCA